GTCATCATAGATGGAGGGAGCTACAATAACTTGGCTAGCATGGAGATGGTGGAGAACCTATCTCTCACCACAAGATCACATCCACATCCTTACTACATCCAATGGTTCAACAACAGCGGCAAGGTTAAGGTAACACGTACTGTTCGTGTGCATTTTAGTATCTCTACATATGCTGATTATGTTGATTGTGATGTGGTACCTATGCAAGCATGTTCTTTATTACTTGGTAGACCATGGCAATTTGATAAAAATTCTGTACACCGTGGTAGAAACAATCAGTATACTCTTGTTCATAAGGATAAAAATATTACTTTGCTTCCTATGACTCCTGATTCCATTTTGAAAGATGATATTAATAGAGCTAATAAAGCAAAACCGGAAAAAAATAAAAGTGAAAATCAGATTGTGGCAAAAGAATTTGAGCAACAAATGCAGCCTAATAATAAACCATCTAGTGTTGCTTCTGAAATTAAATTGAGAAGTGCATGTTTACTTGCCACCAAATCTGATATTGATGATTTAGATTTTAGCAAATCTGTTTGCTATGCTTTTGTGTGCAAAGAGGCATTATTTTCATTCGAGGACGTGCCTTCCTCTTTGCCTCCTGCTGTCACTAACATTTTGCAGGAGTTCGCTGACGTCTTTCCACAAGACATGTCACCGGGATTACCACCTATTCGAGGGATTGAGCATTAAATTGACTTAATTCCCGGTGCATCATTACCCAACCGTGCACCATACCGTACCAATCCAGAGGAGACGAAGGAGATTATGCGTCAAGTAGAAGAACTGCTCGAGAAAGGTTATATACGTGAATCCCTTAGTCCTTGTGTTGTTCCTATCATTTTAGTGCCGAAAAGGATGGTACGTCGCGTATGTGTGTTGATTGTAAAGGCATTAATAATATTACTATTCGTTGTCGTCATCCTATTCCTAGGCTAGATGATATGCTTGATGAATTGAGTGGCTCTACAATATTCTCCAAAGTTGATTTGCGTAGTGAATACCATCAAATTCGTATGAAATTGGGAGATGAATGGAAAACAACATGTAAAACTAAGTTTGGATTATATGAGTGGTTAGTCATGCCTTTTGGGTTAACTAATGCACCTAGTACTTTCATGAGGTTAATGAACGAAGTTTTACCTGCTTTCATTGGACGATTTGTGGTAGTTTACTTTGATGACATATTGATTTATAGCAAATCTTTGGAGGAACATTTGGAACATTTACGTGTTGTTTTTATTGCTCTACGTGATGCACGTTTGTTTGGTAACCTTAGAAAGTGCACCTTTTGCACCGACCGAGTATCTTTTCTTGGCTATGTTGTTACTCCACAGGGAATTGAAGTTGATAAAGCCAAGATTAAAGCTATTGAGAGTTGGCCGGAGCCCAAAACAGTCACACAAGTGAGGAGTTTCCTTGGCCTCGCTGGTTTCTATAGATGTTTTGTGAGAGATTTCAGCACCATTGCTACACCTCTCAACGAGCTTACAAAGAAGGATGTTCCTTTTGTTTGGGGTACCGCACAGAAAGAAGCCTTCACGGTATTGAAAGATAAGTTGACACATGCTCCTTTACTGCAACTTTCTGATTTTAATAAGACTTTTGAGCTTGAATGTGATGCTAGTGGAATTGGATTAGGAGGTGTGTTATTACAAGATGGCAAACCTGTTGCATACTTTTCTGAAAAATTGAGTGGGCCTAGTCTCAACTATTCTACTTATGATAAAGAATTATATGCTCTTGTTCGGACCTTAGAAACATGGCAACATTATTTATGGCCCAAGGAATTTGTTATACATTCTGATCATGAATCTTTGAAACACATTAAAAGTCAAGCAAAACTGAACCGCAGACATGCTAAATGGGTTGAATTCATTGAGACTTTCTCTTATGTCATTAAACACAAGAAGGGTAAAGACAATGTTATTGCTGATGCATTGTCTCGTCGTTATACTATGCTTTCACAAGTTGACTTTAAAATATTTGGTTTGGAGACCATCAAAGATCAATATGTGCATGATGCTGAATTTAAATATGTATTACAGAATTGTAAGGAAGGGAGAACTTGGAACAAGTTTGTTCTTAACGATGGATTTGTGTTTCGTGCTAACAAGCTATGCATTCCAGCTAGCTCTGTTCATCTTTTGTTGTTGCAGGAGGCACATGAAGGAGGATTAATGAGACACTTTGGTGTCAAGAAGACGGAGGATATACTTGCTACACATTTCTTTTGGCCAAAGATGAGACGAGATGTTGAGCGTTTTGTTGCTCGCTGCACTACATGTCAAAAAGCTAAGTCACGACTTAATCCTCATGGTTTATATATGCCTTTGCCTGTACCTAGTGTTCCTTGGGAGGATATATCTATGGACTTTGTTTTAGGTTTACCTCGAGCAAAGAAGGGGAGGGATAGCATATTTGTTGTCGTGGATAGGTTCTCGAAAATGGCACACTTTATACCATGTCATAAACGCGATGATCCTGTTAATGTTGCTGATTTGTTCTTTCGTGAAATTATTCGCTTGCATGGTGTGCCAAATACTATTGTTTTAGATCGTGATACTAAATTTCTTAGCCACTTTTGGAGATGTTTATGGGCGAAGTTGGGGACTAAACTGCTTTTTAGTACTACTTGTCACCCCCAAACTGATGGACAAACTGAAGTAGTTAATAGAATATTGTCTACTATGCTTAGGGATGTTTTGAAGAATAATAAGAAAATGTGGGAAGAATGCTTGCCTCATATTGAATTTGCTTATAATCGTTCATTGCATTCTACTACTAAGATGTGCCCTTTTGAAATTATGTATGGTTTTCTACCTCGTGCACCTATTGATTTGTTGCCTCTTCCATCTTCGGAGAAGGTTAATTTTGATGCTAAAGAACGTGCTGAATTGATTTTAAAAATGCATGAGTTAACTAAGGAAAACATTGAGCGTATGAATGCTAAATATAAACTTGCTGGAAACAAGGGTAGAAAACATGTTGTGTTTGCACCTGGAGATCTTGTTTGGTTACATTTGCGTAAGGATAGATTTCCTAATTTGCGCAAATCAAAGCTAATGCCACGTGCTGATGGTCATTTTAAGATGTTAGAGAAAATAAATGATAATGCATATAAACTTGAGCTGCCTGCAGATTTTGGGGTTAGTCCCACTTTTCACATTGCAGATTTGAAGCCTTATTTGGATGAGGACGATGAACTTTCGTCGAGGACGACTTCATTTCAAGAAGGGGAGGATGATGAGGACATCAATACCATTGTTACACCCACAACCCTTGCTGCTATACATACTGGACCAATTACTAGAGCTCGCGCACGTCAATTGAATTATCAAATACTTCCGTTTCTTGGTAACGATTCTAATGTTCATGAGAATATGATGCTGCCTAAATTGGATACATTTGTTTTGCTTACAAACGAAGGGCCTAGCTTGGACAAGAAAGATGAACCTTGAAACAAGTTCAAGCATGGAGATGATGGCATGCGCAAGGGGATCAAGAATGGAGTTACAAGTGATGATTTCAGGACTTTGAAGCCACCATAAGGAGTGCATGAAGCCTTGGATGAAATATACAAGATGCCACTTCATAAATTTCGTTCAGAGACTATTTTAGTTGCTGCGTCACCTTATTATTGGGCCAGGCTCATGTATTTTCAAAATATTTAAGTATAGCCTGTTTTTAGAGTCCGTATGTGTGGGGAAACAAGAGTTAGGGTTGGTTTCGGACCCCTCCTCCAAGGGCCACGAAATCCCCCCCCCCCTCTTTCTCCATATATACAACCCTTAGGGCGTCGTTTAGACTTTGAGTTTTGTTTAGATTAAAAATTCGCCATAGCTGCAACTTCGCGTACTTCGTTTGTGTTCAACGACCAGACCAAGACGTCACAGAACCCCACCTTGATCAATAAATCTTTCATCTTATATTTGCAATATCTAGATTGCAATCTCAGTTTCTTGCTTGTTCTTCGTTTGCTCGCAGGAAACAGACCCTCGTGGTCAGGTTGATCGTGCCCCGGCGTGGTCAATAACCCCTCGGAAGTTGGTTTAGCGATTGCTAAGGCACGACGTCTCGCACGTTCGTAGTCGGATCGTCAAGGTCGACTCCCACAGAAACGATAGCCACCATCTCATCGAAACATCGGGACACCTTTACCTCTATCAGTCACAGTGAGGGTGGTCGACGGGACGGTCAGCCTTAATCAGGGTTGGGCCACATTAGCCGTCATTCACCAGATCGGGTACATGGTAACGTTCAAGTTGCTAACCCCCGACACCATGAAGGTGATCGTCTTCAATAACGAGGGCATGAAGGCGGTCACCAAGTGCAAGAAGCACGGCGACGCCTTCGTTGCAACCGACTAAATGAGCTCCTGTCATGTTTGAGTTATATGTGTGGTTTAGACTTTGATGTGTGCTGCAGTTTGGTTTAAGTATTTTGTTAAACTTCTATGCATGGTTAAGATTATGATGTGTGCCTTGCTCTTGTTCTAACCTTTCAATGTGTGCCTCTGGTAACCTCATCATATCAAGGAGGAGGTTATCACACAACTGTCTTGAATGTAACCAGACAACCAGACTCGTGTTTTCCCTGAAACACGTCCACAACCAAACATCATGCCTTCCGTTTCGGTAGATGCAGATTACTAGAGGTGATGTAGGCAACCAATCAACATGCAGATGTTGATTTTTTTTCCCTACATATGCCCAACTGAAAGTATTCAAAGGGGCAAAAAATGACACACAACACCGGCACATGCACGTAGGACCCTTACAATCACGCGATACACAGACAAAATCTGACACATAAGAAAAGGAAAAAGAAACCAAGTACTAGTAGAAGAAAAAGTGACTGGCCTAAAAGTAAATTTTAGGTGACTTACATATAGCAAAACTGTTCTAGATTACTGCAAGAAACAGTGTCTCTACATTGTTAAGTAGAACTGCTAATCTAAGCTACTGCACCAGAAGGTAGGTCGTGCTCCAAGAATACTACAGTTGATTGAGATTCATGTCGAAGCAGAAATTGTCAACATCAGCTGTACTGGTGGTCACCAGCGTGCTCCAGCCTTGATAGTTGTCGGCTTGTCCGATACTTGCGGTGTTGGCTGCCGACGGTGCATGCCGGCGGGCCGCCGCTTGACCGTTGCCGGAAGTATTGAGGGGCCGGCGATCGAAGGACCTTAGTGTCCCCGTGCTGATGTAGAGCCGGCACACGCTGAATTCGTTCCTGAGCTGAACAATAAAGAGCAAATTATTATGGCATGTAGAGCATCAAATCAGCGATTAAGTGGCCAGAGCTAGCTGGTATATGCACGTACCCTGAGAGGTGCCGTCGTCTGGTGTCCGGTCGTCGTGTCGTCGTCGGCGGCGACAGCCTTATACTCGTTCATCTTCCACGTGGTCTTGGCCCCCGTGGGCGCACGGCCCTGGTAGAAGACCATGGTCCTTTTCACCCCGATGACCTTGCTGTTACCGGCGGCGGCTGAGGAGGAGGAGGAGGAGGAGAAGACGCAGGACGGCGAGCCCGTGGCCTTCCAGTACCCGGACGGAGTGGTGCGCGCTGGCCGGCCGCCGCGCAGCTCCCTCTCAGCCCGGGGGCAGAAGAAGAACCACTGCTCCGCGTCTTGCACGCTCGCCTCCCCCGCCATTGCTGCGCGTGCACCAGATGTTGTATGGTCAGGCGAGTTCAGGACACAAGAGCGTGCCGCATGCCATCAGTATTCACTGGACTGACACTGACACGATGAACTTACAGCGGAGGTGGGAAGGGTGGTGGCTGTAGACGTCGACGACGGGAATGACGCGATCGACGTGCGGCCTGGTGGTGCCGGCGAGGCGATGGCGGAGGTAGAAGCCCAGCAGCTCATCCTCCGTCGGGTAGAACCGAAACCCCGGCGTGGAGACTAACAGATCGCCACCGGCGCCACCGCTGCTAGTAGTCGTCATCATCGCGAGTTTGATCAGCTGCAACCTAGCGACGTAAGTATATACAGCAGAGGCCGGTTCAGAAGTTTGCGTGCATTTGTAAACGGTGCGGGAAATCCACGGCCGGGTTGACGCGGACCAGCTCAGAGTTGGTCCACTAAACCCATCACGTAGGCAACAGTGACACGTGGCTGGCTCTCTAACTCTCACTGCACCTGCGCATATGTACGTGGTCGTGGTCTTGTGTTCATACGTGTGATTTGGTTTGTCTTACGTGCGTGCGTACACATTTACAGGGGCAAGTCTTTGACTCCTGCGAGTGATATTTGAAATATTTATTAATTCGGTCGACTGGTTCATCACGTTCTTTTCTAACGTACTAGTCCGGATCTCTACATCGATCGACGCACGCAATCATTTGTATTGTGAAGGTTTTTTCGACCTATACAAAAAGATAAATATAGAGTACTGAAGTGTTAGAACAAATGCAAATGACACGACACATTTATGTGTGACTAATTATATTTTAGCTATCTGCAAAACCAACTATCAACATATTGTATTACTCGCGGAAGTCTGAAGTTTGAACTACCATTTCTAGTGGAGTGAATTACATAAAACCAGCCCACAAATTTTTTTAAACCAAAAACTACCACATTTGAAGTTTAATTTCAGGTTTGCTACCACATTCTTTGGACCCTACAAAAATCTACTGGTTTTCTTACTAACTTTCTCAATAAATACTTATGACTGATTTGGAGTCAATTATTCCAATTTTTGACAGGAAAAGCCGGCTGGTCAAGTCCACGTGGCACTAAAAGTCAAGACAAATGGTGTTGACCATTAACTTGGATGTGGGATCCGCTTGACAGTGTTAATATTTCTTCATGATAGCCTTTTTCTTTGTGGCATTTCCTCGAGCACCTTATGTGCAGGTGCAGTACACTGGCTGGAACAGCAAGCCATGGCGCCAGGAGCTAGCCACCTTGGCCACAAACGAGCTAGACCGCGGTCGACGCCACCACCTCTCCATTCTCGCTGCTCTGGAGCTCTTTTGTCATCGTACCCGCCGCTGTAGTCGCGCCACGGCGGCCACCCTAGTGCCCAAGGACGCGCACAACGCGAAGAATGCCTGGAGGTCCCATGCGTGAGTGATGGCTGCCCCTGGCCCTAGGCGGGTGGCGCGAGCACGGGTAGCAGCAGCACGCGAAAGACACACTGCACCACGCACACACACCACAAAAAACACACACACCACACACACATGCACCACACACACACGTGCCAACTGTGCTTCACTAGGCTGGAGTCCCCCAAGCTACTCCAGATCCTCCTCTGCTGCGTCAATGTCTTGCATATACCCAAAAAGGCCACCACTCCTAGGCACACTTCAAGCGACGGGCCAGGACAAGTAAGAAACCATCAGTTTGATGGAGGAAGGACCAATAAATGACGCCTCCAAGGAGGGAAGCGACGTCCATGGACGTAGTTGTCAACTTGACAAGGTCAAGCACGACATTTGCCGGTGCCCCACCAACCAACCCGAGAGAGCATCACTCGCAACCGACGACTACACCGACGCAACTTGACTAAAGAATACCTTCGGCAACCTACCCGCATGAGACCGATCCCAGCAACCCCCCCGGTCCCGGGATGCCCTCGCACACCGAGTAGAGTGCCGTCTAAAAGAGGCCAAGGTCACAACGAGATACATTGCCGGTGATAAGAAGGCCCTAGAGGAACCTAGGTATCGAGACATTAGATGAACACCACCGATGAAGACGTCATGGACATGAGGACGCTGCAACAGGGAGGATGTCGGATTGCCTAGGGAGGATGGCCCGTGAGTAGCGCCTCCAAGGAGGAAAACATCGTCCGTAGACATCGTCACCGCTAGCAATGGACAAGGCCTTGTGCAACTTTTGATGAACCGTCATCCCTAGGCCCTAGCTCGGTGGCGCCGGATAGAAAGTTTCGGTGGGGTCGAGTTTGACTTTTGATTTGGGACATATGTGGATATGAGAAAGTGGTTGAGGGCTTTGGAGCATATCACTAAGCACTTTGAGCAAGAAACTCATTAAGCAACACCTCATCCCCTCTTAATAGTATTGGCTTTCCTATGGACTCAATGTGATCTTGGATCATTAAAATAGAAAATGTAGAGTCCTGAGCTTTGAGCTTGAGCCATTCCTTTGTCCTCAGCATCTTGAAGGGGTTCCACATCCTCTAGTCCATACCACTCCATTCTTAAACTTATCTTAAACATACTAGGTAGAAGCATTATCCCAACAAGAGATATGTTGACATTAATTACCAAAATCACCCAGGGAGCACTTGTGCTTTCAGAGACATAAAGAGGTGGAGATGTAGTTCCTCTCTCATAATAATTGCAAGTAGGGGCAGCAAGCACATGCATATTATATCTATCAAAATCATCATGTGTAATAGTAAAACGCAACCTGTTGGGGATATTACTACTGGATGTAAACCGGCCAGGAGTAGCCGGGTTAACTCCTTGAAGATTAGAAGCCCATGAAGGTACAAGAATAATGATGCTTTACGAAGGCCCAAGGCCCAAAGGTGGGTTAAAGCCTGTAGATGTAAACCGACCTGGTCGTGTAACTTGTGTTGTAAGATAGGAAGGATAGAGGCCGAACTGGACACGTTTATGATCCGGCTTCGGGACTCTGTAACCCGGCGGGCGTCAACCTATGTATATAAAGGGACGACCCAGCAGTGGTTTAGAGAGGGACAACAACTCGAGAGCCAGACAAAGCGGGTTCGCTCCCTGGCCTTCGAAACCCTAGCAATATCAATCACAACTAGACGTAGGATTTTACCTTCCTTGAAGGGGCCGAACTAGTATAAAACTCCCCGTGTCCCCTTGTCCGGTTTAACCCCCTTAAGCTAACCCGTAGCGATGGCTCCACGACTAAGTCCTTTCACAAGGACATCTGCCGTGACAAACCCATGACAGTTGGCGCCCACCGTGGGGCTATCGCACGATGGTTTCGAGTTCTTAAAGGGCAGCTTTGATGGACTCAAGGGATACGTTGTGGGCCGGATGACAAAGAGTCGTCGCGGCAAGCTCTACATCGACAATGCAGGATGGGGTCCCGAGGCCGATTCAATCGAATATGGGTACCGGGTCCCCTTTGGTGGGATTCACGTCTTCATTGGCAAGATCAGCGAGACGGCCCCAGAGCCGGACAGCTGCACCGACATCATTGAAATGGCTCGGCGTGCAAGTTCTTTGCCGGTTCAGCCCGTGACGAGGCATGTTTTCGTAGGTGTCGTCCATGGAGCGAGACACGAGGACAGGCCAGCGTCCGATGGAGAGACCGTGGTTTGTTCTGATGACGAGTCTTCTGGAGAGACCGAATCACTTTATCAGTTGCAGGACAACCGGATTGATGGAGGATCCGAGGGCAACAGTATTCCGGATTCCCCCGATCTGCCAAACCGGGCCGCCATCTTCATGGCCGGCACACAATCAGCGCCTCATTCATCAGCCGCCGCAGCAATACTCTCCGACAACGGCCACGCCGACAGGGGCAGGAAGTTCTACGCCGCCTCCAGCCCAAGTTCTGTCTGATTTGTTCGACGCTTTGGCAACATTGATGGCCGCAAAGGTGGATGCAGCAGCCAGGGATCAGCACAATGCAGAGATTGCAAAGGGGAAAGATCAGATAGCTCAGGCTAAAGCGGACCTGGCGACGGAGAACGCTAGGATGGCGACAGAACGGGCTGAATTGGAAGCACAGGCCTACCGGATTAGGCTGGATCAGAGTGCTTCCGAGGAAGTCATGAGAACAAGGTACCGATCGCGTCTCCCGTCGGTTTATGAGCTGCAAAATCTCTTCAACACACCGGGAGCAGGAGCTGGTAACCAATCCACACTAAACCGGGCGGAGGCATCGGGAACAGGAGTGCCGGTTCAGCCGCGCACGATGGACCCGCCTCGCTAGAACAACGTTGTATCGCAGTATGTGCCGACACCTCCCGGGCATTATTCCAATCCGTTGGACAATATTGTGGCCGCCGCTTCACGCCTGGCATCCCTCCCAACCGACGGTGAATCACCAGTTATGGTTGAAGCACGTCGGGCCAAAGATCTCCTTCAAACAGCGCTAAATCAACAACAGGCATATTCACACAGTCATGAGAGGATTCATTCCACTCCCCGTCCAAGCCGGAGCTATAGCAGACACATTGAGGATGAACCGGCTGTGTCAAGCAGTGCATGTCGCTGAAATTCACCGCGAGGAAACAACCCGGCAGGGGGAGGTGCTAATGCGCAGGGTGTTGTGGACCATGGCCGCGCACGTCGGAAGGCCGAGTTAGCAGCTCGACATGGAGCACGACAGCATACTCCGGTTCACCCTACCGCTTCAGTAGAGCCGGGTGTGGTATTCAGTTCCTTAGGGGTGCCGTGTCTCACCCCCGCTTTGCGTAATGTGAGACTGCCCAAGGAATTCAAGGGACCTCGTAAGGTACCAAATTACACTACCAATTTACAACCAGAGGCGTGGGTGGAAAGCTATGAGATGGAAATGGAGATGTTGGATGTGGATGAGGCAGTGTGTGCTAAATATTTCACCATGATGTTGGAAGGAACAGCTCGTACTTGGTTGAAGAGCTTACCGACCAACTCTGTCAGATCATGGGCTGAATTGAAGCACCGGTTTATCCAGAACTTCAAAGATACTTGTAAGCAGCCGAT